CCCTAGACAGCCATGCTGGCTGGGGAATTCTGGGAGTTGAAGGCCACTCATCTTAAAGTGGCCAAGTTTGGACAACACTGTTCTATAGTGTGGGACCCTGGACTTCTGCCTCAAAGTACTGCTCTGATGGCACTTCTGTCTGAATACTAGTGTCCAAAAGAGCACGAGAATGGACTGACCCACTCACTGCTTGTTTATTTATTTATTTAAATTTAAACAGCTGCCCATCTCACTTACGTGACTCACAAGTTAAACCAGCAAAGACAAAGTTGTAAAACTTGATTAAAACAATTAACAAGGACCTTAAAAGTATGGGAAATGCCAGCACACAGGTCATAGACAATGTGGCCATTTTGCAGGCTATGGGATCCCCAGGCCTGATGGCAAAGACATGTCTTTAGGGACTTCCTAAAGGCCAACCAGGTTGGGGCCAATCTAACCTCAAGAGAGATAATGTTCCAGGGGGCGGGTGCCACAGCAGAAAAGGCTCTCCCGGGTCCTGTCAGATGGAACATGTCCCCTCTGCCAGATCTGATAGGACAGGTAGATATTCTTAGTTTCCAGAAAACATCTAATTTATACTATGGAAGCAAAATGTATACTACATGGCCCTTTGCAATTCTTATGCTCTTACCTTCTAGATCTCAGAAGACAACTGATTTCACAGTGCTGGACAAGGGAATAAGGATAAAGGAGGAAGAGGTTCATTCTAGCAAACTTCCAGTTGGCTGAATTGACAGATTTTTAATAGATGTATATGTGGACTTTTAATAAACAGAGAGCTGTATGCTGGGAGAATGCTTCCATATCATCTAAATTCAATGCTGATAGAACACAGATATAAAGGAAAACATGTTGTATATGGCCAAGCTTATTTTACAAATACAAAATCAGAAATTGTGATGACATTTTGCCCATCCCCCTGGGATGGAAAACATATCTTTGGGTGCAATTCAAAAAGAAGAAAGGGGACAAATAATTATGATGTATTACAATTTTCTCATGGAATTATTTCCTGCATGGTTCTCTCACCTGGAGTTGTTAGAAGAACTTTGGCCTTGCAAGATTTCAGCACATGCAACAGAGACCTGAGTCGTATGTTATAGTTGATACATGCCATGGTGCAGCCAATCTTTGCCAAGCCCATCCAAACTGAGAGATAGGCAGGGATGTTCTTTAAGAAAACAGCCATGGTATCCCCTTCTTTCAGCCCCACATAGCCCTTCAGCACTCTGGCTATCTGGTTGCTGTGTCTGTCAATGTCCCGGTAGGAATAAATCTCATCTTCAAAGAGAATCAAGGGTTTCTCTGAATACTTCTGGACTCTGGCCAGAAATATATCTAGGAATGTGAAAGGGGGATTGCGCTGCAGGTAACTGTGGCATCTGTATCCCATGTGTAGGAGGCGGAAGAAGGCTGTCAGATCCAGCCAAAAATAGGGGAAGAAAAAGTTGCCCAGCAGGGGCAGAAGAATCAAAAGTCCAAGTGCAGCTGTGTATAGATCCAGCATGGTAGGAATTTAGCCTTGATGCTTTGGGAGAAGTAGGTAGGAATCCAATTTGTTGCAGGCTCTATCCAATCCTGTTTTGTGAAGGCAAAGAGCAAAGAAATAATGAATAATCCAAGTATGTAATTCTCAGACTCATCTCGGTCCTTCCAAGCTTAAATGAAGAAACCTTTGTCTCCCAACCAATAAAATTTGAGTGACGTGATATAGCTCTGAAATCCTAGCATGCTGTTTGCTACTTACCTTCCTCGTCTCTAGCACAGGTGATTGGCTTTCAGCAGGAGGCTGTTCTCATATACAGTACAGCCTGCTTTTGTCCTTGCCCACAATTTACATCTCAAAGTCCTGGGAAAAAAAATATTGGCACAGTTGATGCTGAGTGAAAATTAACAATCTGGAAGGTTATTGGCCTTTGCAGAATAGACGTTTCTGACACAGTTTAATCAAGAAAGGGAAGGAAGATCAGTTCAGCTAGAATACAAATGAAGCAAAAGCACAGGTGTGAATGAGGTGTACTGTACTACTTGGGGAAAGGATCCTGCCATCATCACTCCGTTCATACTGCTATCTAGAGTGGGTCACTTTATTCTATGGCAGTCTCCGGCAATCTGGTGGCCACTTGATATTTGGGCTTCAACTCCCAGAATTCCCAGCATCATTGATGGGGATTCTGGGAGTTGATCCAACACATGTAGAGGCCACAATATTGTGGAAGACTGTTTAATGACATAGCAGAACCCCTGTAGTTTTCCAAATGTTGTTGGATTCTACCACCTATTGGTCCCTGCCAGCATGCCCAGTGGTTAGGGATGATTTCAGTCCTGTATTATATATTATATAGGACTAAAATATTTCTGTATATTATACATAAAGCCATAGGTTTCCCATCCCTACCCATACATTTGGATTTTAAGAGATACCTTAATTGTTTCGTTGGGAAGACCAACAGTCTTAAATATCACAAATCAATTGATGTCCGCAGGATCCTTAGAAATGAATGATATTTTCCTTGACAAAGACGTTGATTTGATATTATTTCTGGAAACACCGAGGTATAGGCTGACAACTGAGTACAAAGGCTGTTTTTTTTTTTTTAAACAGAGAGTGAGATCAATATGCAAAGATTGATCCTGGAAGACAGTTGACAAAATGTTCAGGTGGAATTGGCCCTATAACCTAGAAGGAGGTGGGAAACCAATTGTCTTCCAGAAGTTTTCAGATTCCAATCTGCATAAGTTCCAGCCAATGCTAAGAAAGAATTATGGAAATTGTGGCTTAGCAACATCTGAAAAGCCTGTAACGACTACCCAACTGTAACGGCCTCTGTAAAGTGTGAATTAGCTGGCTGAGATCTCAGAGGAAACAATGTTCATAATCTCCATTTAAAATATTTTAATATTTGTTTATTTCTTGCCTGTTTAGTTTTGCCAGCTCTATTTGGGGATGTCAGGAAAGGAACACTGCACCTTTTACATGCAAAGGAAATGATGTCAATTCCACAATTTTGATAAATATGCTGCTTTTTGTTAATGAAAAGGGCTTGGTTATTTGAGGGACCGTCTGTCTCCCATGATGTCTGCCTAGCTGATACAAGCTGACAGAGTAGGCGTGCTTTGGACACCTTCAGTTAAACAGTGTCATCTTTTGAGACCCAGACAGTGTGTCTTCTCTGTAGCGGCACCCCCTCTGGAATAAAGTTCCCCCTGAGATCCAGGTGGCTCCCACCCTGATAGCATGGGAATGTATCCATACCAGAAACTGCGTGTACACAATGGCTGGTGCTGTAGCCCAACAAATCATGAGGCTTTCAAAATAGCTGATCAGCAGAAACTATTAGAAATTCTATAGCCCTGCAAGCAGGTACATCTCAAAATACCGGGAATCAACACAAATTCCTCCCCCCCACCCCAACATCCGTTATTGGCATACATTTGATGATTTAGTCTGAAATATACAGACATACCTCAGAGATATTGCGGGGTTGGTTCCAGACCACTGCAGTAAAGCGAGTATCACAATAAAGCGAGTCACACAAATTTTTTGGTTTCCCAGTGCATATAAAAGTTATGTTTACAGTATACTGTAGTCTATTAAATAAGCAATAGCATTATGTTTAAAAAAGCAATGTGGTCGTTAAGTGAGTTGCGCCCAATTTTATGACCTTTTTTGCCGCAGTCATTAAGTGAATCACCACGGTCATTAAGTGAATCACACAGTTATTAAGCAAATCTGGCTTCCCCTATTGACTTTGCTTGTCAGAAACCCCATGGGAAGGTAACAGATGGCAAGCACGTCACCTCAGGACACTGCAACCATCATAAATACCTGCTGGTTGCCAAGCTCCCACATTTTGGTCACATGACCATGGGGATGTTGTGATGGTCGTAAGTGGTTGTAAGTCACTGTTTCTCAGCAACATTGTAACTTCGAGCGGTTGTAAAACAAAAGGTCGCAAGTCGAGGACTATCTGTAAGTAGTGGGGAAGGGGGATAAACTGAGTTTTATTTGTTTGTTTGTTTGTTTATTCAATTTATATAGCCGCCCATCTCATATCAGTGACTCTGGGTGGCTAACAATAATAAAAACAATCAAACACTTAAAACAATACAGAAAA